ATTGTGTAAGTTACTTATTATATCTACACTACATTATATATGATAGTATATCAAATAGTGGCATAAGTATTTTTGTGAAGTGGTGTAAGTGTATTAAAATTATATAAAACTACGACCAACAATCCCGTGGACGATGAACAATGGCTTAACTATTATTGTGTCTATGCTATGATTGTGATCCTCTAACTTACATTTGAGACATGATAAGGTTTTAAGTTTGATTGTTAACTTTTATGTCTCTAATAGTCAAGAATTTGTATTTAAGTAATAACATCTATTATGTGTTTATCAACCCATATTAGTATTAGAGCATTTTGAAATTGTTTGTGCAACGCACGGGTGAAAGACTAGTTGCTCTAAAACCATTTAATTTTGCATTAACATAATCGTTTGTTACACTAAACCATTCCAATCTCGTGTCCTTCCACTTTCCTTTAATTAAGTGCGTCTAAAACACACCCACCAAGAAGCCTCCAGTAATGGTTGATTACACATACAACACCAAATAAGCTACTATAACACACACACGAATAACATGCAAGTTAGTTTCAATATGTGAATATTTCAATTTGCTCTGCTGATGTCATTTACAATTTAATCGCATTTTCCTCTTATTTGTTTAAAATGAGTGATGAAGGAATCAAGCTATACAAATTAAAATAATGAAAGAAAAATAACCTACAAGAATGATGATAAAGAAATTCAATTGTGACATCTAACCTAAGGATGAACAATAAAGTAGAATGAGAATTTGTGAAAGTATTTATAGGAGATCAAATGTATTTATAGGAGATCAAACTTAACATAAATTTGAGATAATCCTTTTTAAGTGCCTAGTGGGTTTCGAACTCGAGACCTTCCACTAGGCACGGTAACCTCACAACCAGTTGAGCTGGAATGCTTGGTTAGATAGTTTATAATTTTTCATACAATTAACTGTACCATTACTTCGGTAATTTGGTTATTGAATAACTAAAACTTTACTCGAATTAGCCAATTAATTTAACAATACTTTTAGTTTTTTTTACAAAAACATTATTAAAATGTAGTGTCATGGTAACTTAAGTTTTAACATTGAACATAAGTTACCATGATTTCATTACTACTCTAGTTACTAGTCGCATTTTTGTAAACGCTCTTTATTTTGATCATAAATATGTAATTATTATAATTTTAATGAGCATATAACATTCTCACTAATGAACATCTTTTTCATATGAAAGTAATTGATTGATTCTACATATTAAATATTTCAATATATGATAATTCCTTTAGATTAATTTAATGCAATTAAGTTATACATATACTTCATATGTTAATCTGATCACCCTACATGCTCAAAAGGGAGCATGTAACATTCATATGTTAACTAGTGTAGATCTCGGGGCATGCCCCGGTAGTTTTAGGGATTGTTTGCAATTGTTTCAACTTTAAAAAGTGATTTTTTAAATTAATTTTGGGAAAAGTGATTAATAATAAAAAATAGTAGTGTTTGAAAAAAAGTGATTCTGAAAAAGTAAAAGTTGGTAGTGTTTGGTGAAATAAGTATTTTTTATGTAATAGAAAAAGTGGAAAGCAGTTTAAAGCACCATTTTACCTGCTTCCAGCTTTTAGCTTTTAAGTGATTAATTTAAGCAGAAGCTGTCATTTAAAAACACTCTTTTCAGCTTTTTTAAGCCAAAAGCTGAAAAGCGCTATTTTTAAGCAACCGCAAACACTCCTTTAATTTCATATGAGTTAAAACTTGTATTAAACTTTTGAATATAATAAATCTATATTATGAACTAATCACATATATTTATAAATTCATATTTGTTAAATGATAATTGTCGGTCATCATATACTACATTAGTACTCCGTATATATTTAAACATTAGTCAATATTATTTTTCAGATTTTATTACTTCCGTAAGAGACACTTTACATTTTGGTTGCCAATAGAATATGAATGTTCTTTTAAATTACCAATGACTTCTTATTTCTCACTTTATTCTTTATGAAATAATTACATAAATATGATCAAAATAAAGATGGTTTACAAAAATATGATTAGTTACTAGAGTAGTAATGAAATCATAGTAATTCATGTTCATGTTTTGAACTTAAGTTACCACAACACTACGTTGCAGTAATGAATAGTCATATTTATGTAAATAAGTTTTATTTTAATAATATTCTTGTAAAAATCTCATTCTTTATCTGTCATTTCGCCTTATACTTTTTGTAGATCTATATTGAACTTTTTTACCTTCTTACATGTTAAATAAAATTGTAAACCGGATGCATTATACTCCATACTTGCTTTTAACCATGTATGAAATCCAATCATATCTTACAATAAGAGGGAATGGGTATGTGTTTATGGAAAGTTGACACTTATTTTAATCATTCTTTGTAATATCACAAGTGTTTCTTATTGTGACAATTTAGTCAACATTTTAATTTTTCACCACAAAATTAATTTTCCTCCCTTCTATCTAGTAAGATATGTTTTGCTTTATGGTTGCCAAAAAATATGAATGATATCCTCACTCCTCAATTAAATTTAACTAACATTTTAATTTTTCATTTTACCGTTTCATCTATTATTTCACCTATTAATTTTTGTAGACTTATATTACTTTGTGAATGTTAAAATTGCAGAACAATAAGTTCATTATTTATCTGCTCCTTGAGGGAGTATAAGCAGATATTGTACCATTTGGGTGAAAGTACATAAGTATTTCTCGGTGTTCCAAATTGCTCCCGGAAGCAGTTTTTTAGAAGTTGGCGGAGACCAGCTTCTGATTCTGATTCTGCTTTTAAAAAGGAAGTCGAAACATTAATCAATTACAAACATCCCATGAATCCCATTCAATGTAATACTACGTATGTATGTGTTGTACAATTATTGACCAAGAATTCCCATGTATTAGAGTCCCATTATGTGTAACATTGATGCATGTTGTACTTTACGATTAATCTCATTCACTTTTATTAGTCCCATTATTTAAATAATTTTGTGTTGTACAATTCCTGAGATTTATAAGGAGACTCTTGCGTAATTATGTGGTCTTCTAAATCTTAGAGTCCGTTTGGTAGCACGAAAATCGGTTGATTTGGCTGATTCTACTGAAATTTATGAAGTTCTGACTGAAGTGACAGCATTGACTGATTCTGCTGATTTAAGAAAAAAATATCTTTAAAATATATTCTATTAATAAAATATTGAAAAAATTATATGTAAAAATAGCTAAAATGGTCATGTACAGTAACTTTAGCCAATACAGCCAGAAAAGTAACTTCAACCTTACTTTTTCTGCTTATTACACAATTCAGCGCGCAAAAACAAAAATTAGTGTTTGGTGAAAAAGTTGGCTGATAAGGCTGATAAGCCGAAAAACAATGTTGTCAAACGGCCTCTTAATATAACTTTAGTTTTTCGGAGTGTGCTGTTTCTCAAAATTATTTCTCATATTAAGCGTATAGTATAAATTAATTAAATGTCTTAATAGCAGTGCTAATAGAATTTGTGCTAACTAATGAGAGAGTGACAAATCATTGATTTATAACTCAATTCTACTACATAAAAAATAGATAATTGTGTGACTTACTTATTAATGTTCTTAGGGTTACTCCTTCCGTCCTTAAAATTCTTCTCATTTACTTTTTTGGAACGTATCAAAAAAAATTATGCTTTTCTTTTTGGAAAGTTTTGTGTGACTATCTCGAAGATAAAAATTTTGCGGGGTGGAAGAAGTACCTTTTTTGATATTATCATTGCGTTAAAAGTGTAATAATTGAGGTTAAGTGGCTAACTAATAATTGTACGATAGTATATTGTATCGATTTAAATTGACATAGACAATATTTATCCTTGGCTTTATTCGATCATTAGCAAAATTCATGTATATATGCATTGTGTTGATTCAAATATAAAAAATCATGTAATATATAAAAATGTTGACATCTTAAGACCCAGAAAGGCCAGAATCCCAGATCCGAAAAATCTGCTCCGCCTAAGTGTAAATTAATTAAATGTCTTCTTAATTCTAATTATTAGAATTTTGTTAACCAATAAGAAAGTGACACATCATTAATTTATAACTCAGCTTTACTATATAAAACAATAGATGTGAAATTCATAAGAATAATATCTACTTTTAGGGATTCTAGTATTCTACAATAATAATCCCTACTGAGAATGCCTATAAAAATAATCTGAACTAGCAATAGTGTCCACAAGAATAAATTGAGGTGAATTCAAATTAATGTCCGTTTAATACTATCAATCTCTACTCTCACTTTTCTTTTCACCGCTCTTCTTATCGAAGTGAATTAAAACTAAAACCCGTTTAATCTTAATATCATTTCCGTCATATGTGGTTCTTTCTAGGATAGAAGATAAAAGTGTTACCCGAAAAGAGGAGTGGTGAAGGGGAAACTAATCAACTATAGGTAAGATTTGGGAGAATTAAATGGGAAATAAGTTTAATTTATCTCAATTTATTCTTGTGGACACTATTAGTTCGGATTATTTTTATGAATACTCTAAGTAGGGATTATTATTGTAGAATGCCCAGTAGTAGAGATTATTTTTGTGAATTTCGCCTTGAAATTATTACTCCCTCCGTCCTGAAAAGGTTCACCAACTTTGACTTTCACGTGGATTAATAAAGTAAAAATTGTGTGGTTGACATTTGTGCAGAGGAGAGAGAATTAACTTTAGCCACATATTCCTTACTTTAAATGAAATGACAAATCCTTTTGGAAAATCCAAAAAAAAAAAATTGGCAAACTTTTTCGGAACGGGGAATATTATTGTTAGTTGTGTTAATAAAGTTTTTAGTGAACCTGTGATTCTCGGTCAATCGATATCTCATAATCATTATCGTCAATAACTGGATTTATGTTCATGTCAATTAACTGAATTTGTATTTCCGTTGGTTGAGGTCAATTAACCGAAAAAGATAATTGGATCTTCTATTTTTCATTTAGTTATTCTTGTTCAATTTTTTTGTGTACACCCAAAGCTAAGGGTACTCAATAAAATGACAATGCCCATTTTTGGTCTTTTAACAATGGTGGGGGTGATCAAACACAGTAACACACTATACTAACATGGCAACTTTCTCTCCAATTTGCATCCTTGTGTAGAGTCAAGGCACCACAGAGTATTTGCTATTTGCTTGCCCAATATATTACCCATAATAATAATGTATGTGGTTTTACACTTTTACAGACTTTGCTAAATAATTGCAAGACAAACAACTTTACATTCTCCTCCATGTCTTCAAAGGGGACTCTTTTCTGGTGCATTTGCTTTAAAACCTTGTTGCAGCATGTAACCATGAATGTTTCCCCAAAATAAGAAATTACAATTATTACTCCGCTTTTGCTCCTCCATTGTATCACTTCCGATGCCCTGCCGAAGCTATCAGGACCCCGACAGCCACGATAAACATAAACAACATCCCAAATAGAAACACATATGTTCTTCTCGATGATCTTCGGTATTCTCCAAATAAAAGTACTCCCCAAAATGTGCTAACAAGTGGTAGTGCCTGAGATTAAAAGAATATATGAAACAGATGCATTCTTGAAGTGCATAATGTGTGGATATTCTTAACTATCTAAAACGTTTTTCATAAAACTTATTATTATTTGCCCCACTTTCCATTTCTGGCAACTACCATCATATCAAAAGACATGATTTTTTGTTATTTTGTTATTTCTAATCACTATTAACTGCACTTACAATTTCACTCTTTGTGAAGTTCATTTGTCAGTTAGAGATTTACGTGAGACGGATCACATCATTCTATAGATGAACTTACTAACCTGAACTGCGTCAGCAGCTGCATAGCCAGCAGCTTGGCCTCCCATGAATTGGAGCCCATTCCCAAACCCACAGAATAGGCCTGCCAACAAGGCCCAACCTCGACCATCCCAGTCGGACAGATAGGCCTTAAAGGACGACTTGGGCCCGTTTAGCACGGGGCGGTACAGAAAACTGATATTGAGAATAATAGCAAGCACAAAACAAGAGACTGAAAAGTAGAAAAATGCAGTGTAGACACTTAAGTGGGGAACTCCAGGTTTAAGTGTATGCCACTGATCATTGGTAGACAGGTTGAACGCGGGTGAGAAGAGAGAAAAGCACAGGCCGGAAAATAATGTTATCCCCAAACCAATCATAGTCCCCTTCCCTAAAACCTGCAACCAAACATTAACAAATGAATAATGTAAATTCCTTATAACAACTTTATTTCTTTAAAAATGTAAAAAATGGAAAAGTAAAAAGGTTGGTACATCTGACAACCTTAATTGACCTTTTGTTCTCAAGCTCTATCAGAAAGAGTGCTGTTCCAAATTTTGCCTTCTCCACAGAGTGAACTCCATTCTCCAAATCACTTTTTCCAACTGTAAATGCCTTTTATTCGTCATAAATTTTAAATTAAATAAACCATGTGACAATTCAACTCCACACGTATTTTACTTAACAATACCTGAGTTCTTATGAGTCTCACCAGAGACTGATGTGCTTCGGTTCCTAATTAATGAAGAAAAATATTATAAACTCAAAACTTAAATAAGTGCAACAAAATTTAAGAGTGATAGTGTGAACCTCAACCTTAAACATAAGCAATAAGAAGGCTAGGAAGTCAATCTCTTATACAGTTATACGGTAGGTGATATTTGGAAAAAACCCCAAAGTGTGATACCTTAACACTCTAAACTTGTTAGAAATTGTCTCAAACTAGAATGCTACACAATGAGGTGATGAACTTTGTAAAGATATTCCACATTGTCCACATTAGCACAAACTCAAATCTTGATTTAATATAATATTGCCAATTAAGCTCCAACAGTCCATTTAATCCTGCTAAGCCTCAACAATGACCATACAGATATTCAAGATTATATTAGTTTGCTATAATGAGTCACCATCTCTAGGGACAACTAAGTCTAAAACATTGAACTACTTGCCTCTAACTAATAAGAATATTATGATAGGTGGTAAGCGGCAGGCCTTAATATTTGGTTTGCATACATGAAAGTGATGAAACTTACCAAGCAGCATTGTTGGTAGAATCACCAGAGAGACTACCAAGCTTTCTCTTGTTATCAGCAGCATTAGATGCATGAACGATAGAGCCTAGACAAACTGCGACCAAGAAGCATCCAACGCCTGGGAAAAGAATCTCAGCTTTGTTGATTTTGTCATCCAGGTAGTAATTCAACGTTGTTCCTGTCATAAAAATAATATCAAATTAAAATCCGAAAGATGAAGACAGCGAGTAGTGAAATATGAAGTAGTTTTAAAAACTGACATGATAAGTGAGTGCCCTGAAAAACAACATGTATATATAGAGGGTTTTCTTAAAACATTAGTGAAATAAAAGTTATGGACAAAGGTGTAACTAAAGTTAATAGCTTAATATGAGTATTGCCGTCATACTCATTACTATGCAAAGTTGAACTTAATAAATGACACTAAAAGTTGCTCATATGATCACTCATCACTGCAGATAAAAAGTCTCACTATCTTTATTAGTCATATATTAGTCATTATTTCACATCAATATATGTAGTGATTGATAGGAAAAACAAATTATATTACCTATGACCACAGTAATGCTTGAACTAACCACCTCTGTGACTGACAAGCCAACCAATGCCCATGCATATTGAGTTGCCAGGTTTCCTAGGCTGAGCACCACCCCACCTCCCATTGCAAACAACACACTTGACCAATTGTCCTGCAAACCATTTATTTATTCCTTATATAAAAACTGTGGTTATTCTAAAACACAAAGTCTGTTTGGTGTCAGTGGCATGAAATTTGTATTGTCATAGTGAGTTTGGATGTGCTTCTAGACAGAACGAAAAGTGCTTTTACATGTTAAAAAAGATGATTTAGGGAATTTTAAGTTTTTGATTCAAGTAGTATTAGTATCTATTTGCATTGGAAAATGTTCTTGGTTTTAGTGAGTTGACCTTTATAAAAAAACACTTTTTGAAAACGCTTAACAAAACACGCCCAAAAGAGTCATTAGCCTGTTTGGGAAGGGTCATTTGGCTAAAAAATCCTAAAATGGTTCAATCTCCTGAATTTCATGAAAGGAAAAGTGTTTGGAAATATCCATATTAGACAAAAGCTACTTATTCTACTAGTTTTGATCATAAGCATAATAGATTAATAGGACACATTTGGCTACCAAATGGAGCGTACAAACTATCCTGAAGAGAGGAATATAATTATGATCAGTCTCTTCTAGCTAAACCTGAATTAGGCACTTACTCACCTGAGTAAGTTGGGTCAGGAAATTGGGGGTTTCCGATCCAATCTGGCCGAAAGTGAAAGCGATAATAACGGCAGCCAAGAGATTAGTGAGTGTGTAATCAAGATAAGTGTGTTGAGGGAGACGGCCTCGCCTTTCCAATAAGGTCAACAATGCTGGCCATGTTCCCAGTAATAAGAGAGCCAACAACATGCACAGTATAGCCCCTCCTTTGCTCTCCACTAAATACATTTTCTCCCCTTTAAGTGCTACTATTAATGGATGAGACAAGAATAATTATTCCCACAAAATCCTGGCAGGATTAAGAAAAGAAAATAATTAACGAGCCACCACTACGTTATGTAGCAGATAATGTTCAGATTTTAATTCTAATTAAGACTCAAGCACAGGGCTGAAGAACTGAATATCCTATTATATGTTATTTATGGCTTAATTGGCTTTACCACATTGCCTTAAAGAAATGAGAACACATAAAATGAAAATGGATTAAGCATAAATCAGTGCTCCTTCAGTATGTTTCTTTTTAAGAGTTGTTAAGCACACATCAACTCATGAAATGTTTTCTCACTCCATCAAAGTATAAAATATTAAATCAATATATAAGATATGGACTAATCCTCCTAATTTCTATCATGTCAACCTTCTACATGGAAAACTAAGTCTTAATACTTATTTCACTATGCTTGATGAGATAACTGAAACTAAGAAAGTGGATCTGACTTCATTTTTATACATTGTTTTCTTTAATATATTTTAAAAAAAAAAGAGAAGTATCTAATAATAAAAGTATAAAACTACAAAACTCAACAAAGTCAACAGATCAAAACACACATGTAACTTTGAACATGCCAATCAAACTGATTCATTGTAACAATAGTATAGAACAAGATCAACCCTGAATGCTAACACTAGCTAATTCAGGAAAGAAAGAAGAAACTGATTGAACAATTTGATTAGGCATTCATATTATACCTACTCTTGCGGTTGAAAGAGACAGTATAAGCACCTGTGCTTGATTGTGGAATCTTGTAGGGTCCACTATGAGATTCAGGAATCTGAAAAGAATCTCACTCCATGAAGTCTGCAAAAGTTTCCAAGAAATCTGCAAAAAGTTATCTTTTTCACTAAAGTCTCAGTTCATCATCAGATCATAATAGGAGGAAGAAGCGGTTGGTAAAAGAAAAGTGGGATCTTCGGGGTAGTTATAACTGCAAATACGAGGTTATTTCTTTGTTTCCTTCTTTTTTAACTGCAGAGATTCCGAGGAAATGCAAGGAATCATCAAACAGAATCGCTCAGTTTAAGGAGGGAGTGGGGGATCTCTGGGCAGTCATGATTCCCTGAATCTAACGGTGGGTGGATCTTCTCTTATTTTTTAGAAGTTCCACACGTTTGGTAAATTAGGCTACCGAATTTGACTCATTCAATCTCATCTAGTTACCCAATTTTTGAGAAAATCATTGTAAGAAAAAAGTCAATAATCAATTAGTCACTACAAAAGACTATTTTTAAATTCTATCCAGTAAATTATTTGAGCATATTTATTATGCACATTTCCATAAGTCGTTGATTGAATAATGAAGAGTAAGACCACTTTTTTATCAGCAATTAACATGTGTCATAAGGAATGTAGTTAAATGTACACGAAACTATGAAACATATATCTGGAAATCCTTACTCAAATTTATTTGATTCCATTTAATCTAGTTCTCAATAAAACAATAATAAAGTTTAAATCTAATTTTGTGCTTGTAGAAATTTGTGTCTTTGCATGAAAGATTATTTGATACAGACAGTCACTTCATTTGGACATTTGGAGTTCATTTACTGATACTCGATACGTAGTTTTGACCCAACTTAATCGCCAGTGTATAAATTATTCTTCATAAACACCCTAACTTATCCGAAAAATTATGTAGGAAAGACCTTAATTGAAACTAAAAATATGGTAAAATATACCATACGTCCGGCTTTACCGTGTGACTTGGTAGAACCAAGTAAAAAAAAAAAAGTAATTTTGCAAATATGTGCAAAGTGAAGGTTATTAATTATGGAGCAGGGTGTCTGATTCCTTAATTTTTCTTCCATTGTTCTCTTCCGTTGCTGGAGAGTGGAGACTTCTTCTTCGGTTTTTGTTTTCCATTTATTTATAGTTTACATAATTGCATTGTTCCCTCTCTACTCTTGATTTGTAACATCTGCCGTTTTTTCTTTTCTTTTTCTATCTTTTAATTTGTCTATTTTATTTTCTTTTAATTTGAAACTTTAATTTCTCTAACTTTAACATTTCTTTTTCTTTTTTCTGCTTCTGTTTTTTTTTTTCGTTTTTCTTTAACTTCTGATATTTTCATTTTTTCCTTTTATATGTACCATTTGTCTTCTCTCCACCTAAGTAGCATGGAAACGCGAAACGAGAAGCGGGAAACGCGAGAAACGTAATTTCTAAAAAATATAGGATACGAAGCGTGGGGGAAACGCGTAAATATTATAAAATATAAGGATATATTTATAAATATTTTTTAATATATGTACACAAGTTTTTCCATATGCACATGTTTTTTTCATATAATTTGTTTAGTAACCAAGTAATAAAATCACTCTACATGTTCGAATTTAGATATTATTTCATATTAGTACATAATTAAACATAAAATGTACGGAGTAATACATTTCTAGCAATACATTGCGTTACAAAATGTAACAAGTGTTGCTGTTGATCGAGAAATACCACAAAAATTCACTGTTAAAAAAATTATTTTCCACCACAGAATCTATAAAAAAGAGAAAAAATTGGAATCCGAGGTTTCCGAAACGTAGTGAAACGGGTTTCCAAATTTTTCTTATTTACGGAAACGGCCCGGAAACGGGAATTTGAAGTTTCCGAATTTCTGAAACACTTCCGAGTTTCCAAAACATGGAAACATGAGCCGTGGAGAGTTTCCGTGCTTCATAGCTCTCCACTAATTCTGAACTCCCAATACTTATTTATTTTTACGTAAATTTTGTACAAGAATGTTTTTATGCAATTTTTCAAAAATTCATATCGAATGGCAATTCAATGAAAACATATATTTCTCTCAATCTTTAATTTTATTGAAAACTCCAACCTTCTAAATAATTAGGAGTATATTATTTAAATTAAACGTGCATTGATATAATTTTAAAAAATAAGCACAATAAAATTTGTTGGTCTAAAATAACGAATGTATGTTTCTTTATGTTCTACTTATATGAGCATATACAAATTTATATTTAAGCATACTTGAAATTTTAAATAAGCTTTTCAAATTTTTTGATACTCATTTCGTAAATTATATATGCTCATTTGATATTCATGTAATGCTCATTTTAAAGTAAGCATTACACTAGACAACATAAAATGTCATATTCATGCATATTGGTGTAACACTCATTTTAAATATTTCGATGTTCATTTCATAAGTTATGTATTCTCATTTAATATTTGAGCATACTAAAAATTTCATATGAGCTTTTTGAATTTTTTTTATGTTCATTTTGTAAGTATGTGTGCTCATTTGATATTGGTGTAATACTCATTTTTGTAGGTTATGTATGCTCATTTGGTATTGATGTTATGCTCATTTTTTAAATGTCATATCAATGCATATTTCAAAAGTACTATATTAAACTAGATTCGCATATTGAAATTCATAAGAGTTGATTATAGATATATTTTAATAAGTTTTTACAATAAGAAAAAGAAAGATATTAAACAATGATCACGATGCTCATTGTTAGGCTTCTAATGCTCAGCAGAATATGTCTAGTGCTCACTAAAAGTGCATTAATGCTCCTTTAGAAGAAGACACGAATTTCATTTATATTACCAAAATGCAACCGATTGTACAGTGGGCATAGTACAACCGATTGTACGATATAGACATCCCTAAAAATATGCCCTTAAATTTTATATTGTGTTTATTTACGAAGAAAAGCTTCAAATAATAACTTTAAATAATTCGTATAGTGCTAGGAAATTCTTTGTCTTTGTATTCCATATTTTTAGACATAATGATTTTTCATATGATCTTTATGATCTTTCATATGAAATCAATGTTGCATATATAATTTAAAAATAATAGAAGACTATATGGTGCCCAATTGAAATATATGAAAATTTAAAATTCTATCTCCAATTGAAATTTCTTTCTCAACGAAATTTAGGCTAAAACAGTATATCAAAGTTAATTTTTTTTTATAATGTTTCATATGACATCAATGTTACATACATATCTAAAAAATTGAAGACTATACGATGTCAAATTGAAATATCAAAATCAAAATCAAAATCTGAAGACCACAAAAAATGTGACACACATAAAACGTTAAAAATGACAGAAAAAATTCATGAATTTGCAATCACAGATCGAAGTGAGGCGTTTTTATCATGAATTTGCAGCAACAAATCCAATTTGTTTCACACATTGCTAATAAAAAACATGGCTTATAAAGTTTTGGTCTTCAGATTTTGAATTTGTTTAACTCATATGATTTGCGGTCTTCAATTTTACAATTTTATATTACAATTAGACAACATATGATCTTCAGTTTTATTCAGTTATATATGTAATATTGATGTCATATAAGAGTATAAAAAGCTATGAATTTTGATATTCTTTTCAGGCTAAACTTGGTTCGGTGAGAAAGAAATGATGGTGTTTCAATTGGACACCATTTGATCTTGAGTATTTTTTTCGAATTGTATATGCAACATTTATGTCACATGAAAGATCATAAAAATTATGAATTTTGATATAAAAACTTGGAGCAAAAATAAAAAATGTATAGATCTTTAGAGAAAAAAGGGTTTTAGTATGCGAAACATATAAGTCGCTGTTTAGAGGCTTTGTTTAACCAGAGTTCCCATTCAGCAGAATTTTGAGAATTATTTTTAACGCACATCTAATTTCATAATTACTCCATATTTAATTAATTGGCATTAATTTAGGAAAAAACTTGACTATGGATCCAAAAATCTCATCCTTTTTTATTACATAGGAGTGTCGGACAATCGGAAAGGAAAAAAACAAACAAATGAATTTAAGTCTAAGAGCATCTTCAATGCTAAAACGTTAACGGTGCATACGTGGCATGAGAAATAACCAATTAAAAAATAATAAATAAAATATCTCTCTCCTTATTTGAAGGATCTTACATCATTTTGGTAAATTTTTCTTCACAATGTCAAGCACAATGTCTAGATGTAGACATTGTGGTTGACATTGCAGACAAAAACTTACCAAAAACACATAAGACCGTGGAAAGAAAGAGAGATAAATGTCATAAAATCAATATTTTGTGTCTATATCTCTCATGCCACATGTGCACCGTGCACATTGTAGCATTGGAGATGCTCTAACCGTTGAAAAGTGGAGGAAGGGGAAATGGAAATATTAAAAGGAAAATTATATTATACTCTCAAGGTATTATACCTTGTCTAGTATTTCAGTAAGTAGCCCTTTTTAGGAGAGATGTGATATATTACTGGGGCGTAGATCACCTGATAGGAAGAAAGTGTTGCAAGAGAGAGGTCACATATTCAACTCCAAGCATAAACTTGGGATAAAATATCACTCACTTTCCGTCAGTGTGTGATCAAAGTTCAATTTACCATAACAAATTGGTATGGTAAATTGATGTATCTATGCTATGATACCTATTGTATCATTGCATGGTATGATACCATACTACAAGAGGGTAAGGTTCCAAATTGGAATAACAACTCAAAGTAGTATCTCATGTGATTTTACCATGATAGGTGTATTTACTTATATTGATATATAAGGATTCAAAGAAAAAATATAATAAATTTATAAATATCTCTCCTCCCCATTGGAGGGGCATTGGAGCCTCCTCCAATGGCTATTTTAACTTTGCATGTAATGTCGCATTGAAGGGGCGTGCATTGGGCTACAATGCCCCATTGGATGGGCAATGTAGCCCAGCAATTCTCGCCATAATACAATTTTGCACGTTTAACTAAACAATTGGTTTCGAGCTCGTATGAGCATCAATTTATTCTCTCAAATGAATGATTATTTTCCTAACATCAATTCTGATAGTCACTTTATGGTAAGTGTTACATAAATCATTGATATGAGCTACTAAAAGATGTTATATTATTGTTCAAATGCATTGAAAACCGTTATCCAGTCCTAAATCACGATTCTCACCCTCATGAACTCTTGTCATTGATTGAAAGGATGATTCTATAATTTTACTCGTCTAAGCATTTTAGATCAATATAAATGTCACTAATATTCATTATTCAGGAAGACACGACAGACCTGCAAGGCCACTGGAATACAAGATGTTGTTGGATGGCTAGAGTGTTAGTCACTGACGCCTTGTTTCTACGTTGTTTCTTTACTCAATTTTTATAATTTCATTTATTTTTGTACTCAAAGTAATAAATGTCACTAGTGTTTAGGAAGACACGATAGACCTACAAGTCCAATGGAATCAGGAGTGATGTCACAATGTGATGAAAGGGGTGAATTTATTTTGGTTTACACTTTGTTGATAGTCATATCTAATACTTCCTCCGTTCCATTTTAATTGCATCAGTCAACATTTCACGTTTGCCAACGCACAAGTTTGACCATTAATATCTTTCATTCTTTATTAGTAAAAAATTTAAAAAATTCATATTTTGAAAATTTAGAATGAGTAGAATTTAAAAATATTTTTAAAAAATTTAATTTATAATACATGAATAAATAAAATATAGTCAAAGTAGAATATGTGAATAGTGCAAAAAGTCTAATGTTTCAATTAAAAGAGAACGGAGGTAGCTAGTACTACCTCCGTCCCGGTGGACTTTGCCAAGTGCAAAATAGGTGAGAAATAAGAATAGTAAAAACCGTGTGGTTGAGATTTGTGCAGAGGAGAGAGAAATGTGCGGAACCACAAATTAGCTGCTTTAATGAGAAAGTGAAAAAGTTTTTTGGGACAACAAAAAATGGAAAGTTGGCAAAGTCTAATGGGACGGAGGGAGTACTACGTAGTACTTCGTATATTTTTGTGATAAAATAATTAAATATTTATGCCTCTAAATTAGGGCGGGCACCACAGGTTATGAGGATTTTCTTATTAACTTGAGTGTAAAAAATTAGGAGATGATTAAAGTGTTTTTTGGTACCACACCAAAATTAACAAAAATTGTGGTGTCAAAATATTTTACAAAAATTTAATGAAATTAAAGAAATTGCCAAGGGACTAAACCCCTACTGATTATTCAACATTTTACAAACTCAAGACTCATTTAATAACTCTTTAAAGTTATTGTAACTATCATTACTATTTTATTAGTTCAAATTAGGTGTTATGCCATTTGGTTTCAGTGTAAACGTTACCTGTTGGTATAAGGTGGAGAAAATCATTAGCTATAAAAGCTTTACTATTAAGCAATACTAATACAAAACGATTAAAATGTGTGGCGGGGGGAGACCCCCTGCCTAGGCATACCTCCGCCCCTCGGTGGAATAGGAGATGCTCTTTTTCTTTACTCATTTTTATAATTTCATATTTTCATAGCAGAATAAATCACTCCCATGATAGACCTAGAAGTCCAATGTAATTTTTTTTTTTTGCTTTTCCATTTTGATTTTAGAAGGTTTGAAAACTTTTCATATGGGGTTAGGAGCACAGAGATCTACATAATCAAGTTAAGCTTCCATTTATCATTTATATCTCTAATTCCAATCTCTGACAAAATCAGGCCATGTAAGACAAGACTTTCATAATTATAAATTACAGAAAGACCAGACATTTACCAGGCTAGAGTGCTAGACCAACAAATTTCAAACCAAAAAAACATCCTTAGACACCGGTAAATCATACCATGCCATGTCATCCCTTCTATGATGAACTGGGCCAGGGTGGCCTGACCCGGGACCAGCCCAATACTGATTAGGCCCAACCCGACCTGATTTTCCGGGCCCAATACCCAGACTGGTTGTTATAAGGGGCAAACTTTGGGCTTGATTTTTTGTGCGATTGTGCCCACTCCAGGCCCAATTGCATTTTTTAAAAATATAATTAAATGGATGGTACCGACCAAGGCCCACTACTGTTTGGACCCGCACCGGAACCGGATCATACCGGGCCGGTGCCAGACACTACTTTTCCAGAACCGGTACCGCCAGGCCCGACCCGGTTCGATCCCTAATCCCACCCCATCCCATACTGGCATAGTGGCATATAGGGGTGGACTGAACTGGGCCGGTTCGGGCCTCGGGCCTGGGCCCGGCCGGGCCTCGGTTCAGAATATTGAGGCCCGAGCCCGAACCGGGGGTGGCCGGTTCCGGGCCGGGCCACCCGCCCTATTTTTTTTTTTTGGCTTCTTTATTTAATCCCCTACCCCTATTTCTCAACCCCAAACCACCCCAAACCAAGGTTGTTAAAATCGTATTTTTGAATCGAATCGGTAGATGTTTTTAGAAATCGAATCGTAAAATCGAATCGCAAATCGTAAGATTTTACCAAACGTATGTTAATAATTATAAAATAAATAAATATTAAAATTAAGTTGCAAGTTAATGATAGTATATCATTTCATTACATAAAACTATACCTAAAATGTCAAAAGCAAGATTTATAAACTGTTTTTATAAGGTAAATGTATTGAATAATAACATTAAACATATGTAAAACATAAAAATAATTAAGTAACACAAGAATCCATTACTTTTATAAATAAACTATTCATATTATTATTATTGGAATTATGTATCAATTTGTAGTTGTTAATTTTAATAAATTTGAACCATTTTCATCAAAAACAACTTATTACGATTTTTGCTACGATTTTGCTACGATTTTATACGATTCTACACGATTTTAGGACGATTTTTTTACGATTTTGTGATTTTACGATTTTACCTGCGATTTGAATCGCTTTATAAATGTAGAATCGTAAAATCGTACGATTTTACGATTTAAATCGAGATTTTAACAACCTTGCCCCAAACCACCTCAAATGGACCAAAATACCTAATCTAACCCAAAACATAAAAAATTTTCAAAAAAAATAAAAAAAAAATTATTTCCGGCCCGGACCGGGCCCGAACCGGCCGGGCCGGTTCACCATATGGAAGGCCCGGGCCCGGAACCGGGAACCACCGGGCCGGTTCAACCCGAACCGCCGGTGGACCGGGCCACCGGGCCGGGCCGCCCGGCCCGAGTCCAACCCTACTGGCATACCATACAAATTCAGTCCACGTGAAACATCATACTATCTATTTTATCATTCTAGTAATTCAATAAGTAGCCTTTTTACTATGACAAATTAGTAGTCATAAAGGTCAGCTGTTCGTATTATCAGTAGGGAGCAAGCAGCCTCTCGCTTTTGTGTGATTGCACTGTTTTTTTTTCATTCAGCAGACTGGAGTATCTTTCAGGGGATGATGGTTAAACGAGTACCAAAATATTAAGTTCCACAAGTTTATGCACATAAAAGAACTAGAGCACCGTAGAAAAAATGTAGAGAATGGTCAATTGTTTCCCTGATTCGCAGTTGCATTAAATGCCCACACTAAAATGCCAGGCACCTAAGTGGCTATGCTTCATTTTTCTCCTTGCCAGAAAATTCTGAGAGGAAATTTCCCAGAATCCTTTGATCAAGAACCATATTTGGTACCTGCAAATTATTACCCCATGAGTACATCAATTATGAAAACGCAAAACAAACATTGTTTTAAATGTCGGCCAAGGTCGTAAGCAATTTTCTGTAATCATCATAATTTAGGCTGTCCAGAAATTAACCTAGGACGCATAAAATGTCCTATGTCTATGAGCTGGGGACCTATTAGGTAGGGTAAGCAGCAAATGAATAAATAAACATACACTTGGATATTCATACTATTGAATACCAAAGCTGCTTCGCGTACATGCCGTGGGCGTACACGGTACACGCCCAAATTTTGACAAATTGTGACAGTGACAATTTCTCTCTCCAAAATTTGTTAGTACCACATGCAATTTGTCTCAAAAATCGAACCAAGTTGTCTGTCACAGATAATTTGGGCGTGTACACCCACAGGCGCGTACAAACAGATTTTTCCATTAAATATCTTATTTCTGTTGTCCATTGCGTTTGAGCATCAGTTTGGGCCCATTTATCCAAACATCCACTTCCTCAGTTCAGCCTAGGCTTTAGTGGTGTGGATTGAGTATCCCACACTAATTGTCTACTCGGTCCAAGTCATGCATCTGACTACAAGATATCCTTCAAATATTGAGAATCCTTTTAGAGTAAGTGAGGCTCAATTTAACATGTACATAAATAGACAATTTAGAGCCCACCTAGTCTTCAAGCGGTGGTCTTCTCACCTTAGATGGCCTAAAAGTTCCAATTTAGAACATTTGAAAATAGGTAGAGAAGTAAACACAAGCAGTCCCACCTTGTTGCCAAAGAATATTTTGGAGTTGTTTGTAATTGCTTCAATGAATTTGAGTTCCAAGAATTGTGGGGTAAGCTTCAACTTGTTAGCGTCTGCTTCTCTCATCGTGCTGATAAAGAAAGACCAGAGAAATGCATGACTCGTCATCATCATCATCATCATATTTTGAGCCCATGAAACACTTTTACTTAAAAAGAACAGGATAAAAGTAAAAAATGGTCACCGATAGTAAGCAGCATCTGCCAAACTTTTCTCTCGTGCTAAATACATTGCATTAGAAATCTCTTCTTGCTTCCTTGAGCTGTCTTTCTCCATCAACTTCTGTTCCATCTGAATCTTGCTGACATGAGCGTTCTTTTCGGCCTCACTGATAGCAATCTTCTTTTGTGTCTCAGCTTCTTTCTCGGAAACTCTCTGTTTCTCTACAGCAATCAACACCTAGACACAATTTTGTCTTCTGTCACAACTATTTTTTTCTGGAGAGGTAAAACAGAAAATCTTCTTCTAAACCACATATAACAGATGGGAAAAAGTCCATAGAAGGAAGGTGCAAAATCTATTTTGGTCTGTTGCAAAGCAAAATCATGTGCATGATTACCTTTGAAAATGCATAAATAGGACTAAAACACATGTCATAGTCCTATATCATACGACTACTATTTTCTCCTCAAAATAAGACTCATTCCTAAACTCTTAAAAAGAATTCTTAATTACTATTATTCCTTTTTAAGGCCGAAGACTCAGAGTCTTACATTTCGAAGAGAAAACATGGTGCTATTCAAGATAGGAAAAAAAGTATTAATTTAAAAAAAATGAAGACTAATTTGAAGGAAAAACAGTTGTCCTGTTTGAATCAAGGAAAATCACACTTTTAGGCTGCTAATATGTCATCTGAAATTTTCCTATAACTTTTTCTATAGAATCAATTTCTCATTTTTATATTTAGATACAATAAGTCCCTTGTGCCAAATTCACTGACTACACTGTTTTTTGTTTTGTTTATACCATTAGATAATCTGTATTAGAGTTTCAGAAGACATTCTCACCGTTCTATGTTGTCGAGAATGTAAGCGTAAACCTCAATATCAAAACGTTGATTGCATAATATCAAAACATTTGAAAGAGTAGATGTGCCATTTTTTCCTCTATGTCATTTCTTGGGCTTTAGTCTTATCTAGTGAAATTACTATAAAATCTACTGATCCTAAAACTCTGAAAGTCTACCCGCATTTTAAATAAGGCTATGTTTTTACATATATATTATCAGCTTGTTTTAAACAGGAGGTATGGAAGAATGATGGTATGGAAAACATTATTAGATCCATGATCACCTTAGTACGCTCTTCTTCCATGTGTTCAAAGTTCCGCCTTATGCTCTCCGGGATTTTTGGTTTTGTGACACGTACACTTATTATTTCAATGCCAGGTGCATAACGTGTGCAGTCAGCTTGAAGAGCATCTTTCATTTTCTCATCAATCTGGTAATTATAACAAGGGACCCATTAAAGTTATTAAAAGTAACATTCCGCAATCCAAGAATAATCATATTCCTATCATATCCTGCGGAGTGTGAAAGGTGAATCCTTTCTTCATTTCCTTTTAAGGAGGTTCATTACTGCTTTGTAGGTCAAAATGAATAATCTCAATATAAGAAAGAGCTAGTGCATAATTAAGAATAGTCATACTTGAGAAATATTTAAATAGTGTTTGTCATGAAAGGGGATTATTCACTTCCCAAATTTCCTATAAAGTGAGTAAGTGACCCGCACCTCATGTTTCTTTTTGCAGGATCTGTGACATGGCAAAATACCCCCCAACCCCAAATACCCTTTCACTAGTGAAACCTCCACCCCTACCCCACCATGGAGTTCTGCAATTGGTCAGTTTTGTCGTTTAAAAAAGTACTCTCTCTAAGTGGAGGTGCAATCAAAAGGCAACCCTCGGTCTCGCTACGTCGACTGATTATCTTGTCAGCCCTCTTAGGGTCTGTTTGAATGAAAAGTTTGGAGTTGTTTGGAGGGTTTAGACTTTAGGCTATATCTTACATAGTAATAAGGAAAATGTTTCTAAAACCAAATACTATGTGATTGAAATGTTACAACGTTTATAAAAATCTCAAATGTAGATATCAATAATAAAATCCAGATATAGACTAAGCCTTCCAAATACAGCCTTAGTTTCTTGATCATGCGGTCTCCTTTTTTCTCTTATTGTTCTCTATCCAATATCCACCCCAGGTGGTGACTTGAACCAGGGTCCTAGGGATGGCTATTTACACCATCACCCCAATGACATTTATATAAGTCAATGAAAAGACCACACTAAGTTAATTTCAAATGAAAAACATAAACATATACTAGTATATTCTCACTTGATCAAACATATCAATATAGACTTGTTGAAGGCTGTGGCTGCTGCAGAACTGATTAATTTCATGATGGATTTTGTCATATATCCATGTATTGTCATAATCCACACCATAGTTGAGCAGGGTATCATGCACATAGTCCTTACGAAGGCGGTTAACGACCTAAACATATAATAATGAATAGCCATGGCTTAACATTCCACATATTATCAGCAAACAAAACTGGATATGATAAAAGAGACCTCAATTCTAGGGTTATACCTCAATTTTCTCAAAGTTAATCATTACACCTCCTTTTGTCCCACATGGTATATCTCTCACCTACAGTTCAGCAAGCAGCCAATAATATTCTTAGTTAAGCATAGGAACACCATACTAGTTCTAGGAACAAATGAAAAGGGTCGTAGAGAGAAAATCTTACCAAATCCGTCTGAAGAGTTACTTGAATGGGTTCAAAGTGAGTTATAAGTGGCAGTTTCAAATGATAACCTGGAAAGAAACACAAATATCCTTAATGATCACAAATGTCGTAATCAGACGAATAAACTGTATGCAATGGAAGTGGGAACAAAATATAAAGAGAAGGGTAGTGAATAATCACAATTAACCTGGCTCTGTTATTGTTCTTAAAAGGGCCCCTCCTCTCCAGTAGACACCAACATGACCTTCTGGAACTTGATGTAGGGTAGTAAAGCTGTTTGTTGACAGTGAAGGGGCCACCACCTGTAAATAAAAATTGTTACTTTGTTAGTTGACTATCTGTTTGAGAAAACTTGCGGCTGCCACATTTGAAGATCATAAAACACTCATTATGCATGTGAGATCAAAAGGGGCATTTTCAAAAACATTCGAAAAGCACTAGTCAATGACAAATATGAACCCTAAATGGTTGAGAAGCATGTAAAACATCATATGACACATCTTCCATGTCATTAGAGTAAACTGCAAGCTGCCAAGCTCCAACAAGAAAGTTATCTCTGATGACAAACTTGTGTCTAACTTTTATACTCCCTCCGTATTTAAATGTTCACTACACTAGCTTTGGGCACAATATTTTAGGATAGAATAGTAGGGCCGTAGGGGTAGTGAATAGTGTAGAAAAAGTAGGAGAGAATGTGTAAAAGTATGAAAGAGAAGATAAAAAGTAGATAAAGTAAGGGTAATTGAGTATTTTATAAAGGGTAAACTTACCAAAAATGGAAGTGTAGGGAACTTTTAAATATATCCCAAAAGGTAAAGTGTAGGGAACTTTTAAATACGGAGGGAGTAGCATGTACCATCATTAATGAAGGTGAGCTATAGGCCCCACAATTGGAAGTACAACGGTATGTCGGTACACCAAGCGAATTCACAGGAAACAAACAAAGATGGAACCCATTCCAAGTCTCAGTATGAAAAGAACTTACCGATTGAAACTACATCCGTTTTTACATCGACCCATGCAAGGAGCAAAAGCCTTGCAGGGCCAGTCAACATTAAACAATTAGCAGTTGTAATTCTTTTACCACCAAATTTACACCTCCAAGAAAATTACTGGACAGTAAAGGCACTTTGATCTGAGTACTTGAGTGAGTACTCAGATTTGAAATGAATTTTCAGCATGTGTGAACCCCAAATCAACATTGCAACAATAGTGACAACAACCTTGGAAATACTGAAATAGTGATGTGAATTGAAGTCCACATAAGGAAAGATCCAGTGATTTTTTGGGTATTCAAGTGTACATTAATGCTCCTGAGATGAGTCAAGGTTAAAAGTTAAAAGCAGCTAGGAAATCAATGCCAACTTAATGGCTTATTGCCAGAAGCTAGTACACGATATAACACTTAACACTTTAGAAGCAGGAACAATGTCTAGTATAATAGTTTTAATTCGACAGAAGTCTCACACAAAAAATAAATAAAAAATCTATTGATCGATATATTGAATTCCTAATTTGACGCAAAAATCACTGTTAAAATTGAGGAAAGAAGGTGGAAATGCACAAACCGAAGCTGTTAGATCAATAATTTTTTATAGATAAACGATACCAGATTTTGGGCAAGTTTACGAAAACTTAAAACTAATGCATGAGTTTAACAATTGAGTCATGTTTATGTGAGCCGGAATCATAGAACACGCACGTACTGAGATTTGAGCACAGGAACAGGGGATTACCAAGGCGAAAATAGCGATGAAGGAGAAGAGCACGAAAAGTATGGGAGTTAAGTCGCCTCCACCAGCAGCGGTGGCTTGTGATGGTGGACTACCAGCCGCACGAGGCGGCTGACCTTGCTGAGTAGCGTCTCTCTGCTGCGGATGTGCTTCCATGGCGGTTCCGAAGTCAGAGGCTTTGATTGCTCGGCACTCCGATGGGTTTACCTCACTCCTCAGCCGCCTTTGTTGGGTCCATATGCTTATGACGGATTGTCGGGGGATTGGCAAATGGCATTTCCATGTTGGTACCGATCTGAGGACCCGGTCCTCTATTTGTCACAATCATATTTTTTGATTAGTTTTGTGATTTTTTTTTCATAAATTATATCCACAAAAGTTAAAATAAAAAATCTAATTTAAAAATCAATTAAACAAATTAATATTGAAAAAGATTATGTCAAGGTATATAAAAAACAAAATATTAGTCAGTAATTTATTCAATAAAAATCTTGATTGAATTTTAATCTAAAATTTTTATGGATATAATCAACACAATGAAAAACATGCCACAAAATTTCATAAAAAATTCACTTAGAATCATCTCCAATGGAGGCGATCGCACAATTGATCCTGCCGGGCTGATCTGATAGGATTATTCTCCCTGATATTGATATTTAAAATTCTAACATTAGCTTTGAACTTTCTAATGTATTCAAATGACTTCCATTCTTCTTCTTTTTTTAATAACGTCCATTCTAAAATATAGTTTTTTTAATATTACTAAAATAAAACTTATTTACAAAAATATGATCAATAGTTACTACAATGTAGTGTCATAGTAATTGAAATTTAAAAATTGAATATAAGCTACCATGATTTCATTACTACTCAAGTCACTAGTCATATTTTTGTAAATAATCTTCATTTTAGTCATATATATGTAATTATTTCTCTATTTATTATTTCTGTTATTATTTAAGTTTTTTGTTAAGTAATGTGAGTGTTTCATGTTTGTTCCCTTTTTACTGCAAGTAATCTTGCAATCTCTGAATTTAATGAACACACGACCCTCCAATGAATCCCCCTACAATTCAAGCAAATGACCTTAAAAATTTATGTTCCTAGGTTCAAACCCATTTAAGAACCCTAGAAAGTTAAATGTTTTTGACTAAAAAAACATTATCATTTTTACATATATATGTCCAAAAAATAGACATGTGACTTTTATACCCTTCTCAGTTATAATCACTCAACCCGATCGGTTACAGTTATTTGACCCAAACAGCTAGTTACATTTATCCCACCCAATCAATTACAATTACCTGATCCGGTCAATTACAATTACCTGATTTGATCAATTACAGGAACCAAGACCGTACAGTTACAGTTACACGGACTGACTTGTTACAATTACCCGATCTAATAGTGACCACCACCAGCCATCACTGCCAATAACCACCGCCGGCTACTGATGCCGCCCCGCCCCTCCCTATCCAAACGCCTCGTCGGCGGTCACCCTACCCCTCTTTGACAATCGGCCTTCCTAGCCCGTTTGCAGCCCCATGCCCAACCCTTCTCTAGCCTCCCCCAACCCCCAACCTCCCTGCCACCACCGGCCCTTGCTACCCCGCTCAGGTTCCTCCACAGGAATTGTAGTTTATTCATAAAATGGTTTTTTTAATTAAATTTCAGTAGTTGTGTAGCAACTTAACATGTAGACAAGACGGAGATGAACATGGATGAAAATGTATTTGGAGGTAACTAATTTGATGTTTAGAATTTAAATGATTTCAGGTTAGGCCAAGCATATCATTCATGTTTGAGGTAATTGGCAAAGTGTGCCGAGCATATGTGGTAAATCTAGAGACAAATAGTTGTAGTTGCAAGGAGTTTGAATTAGAATACTTTGTGTGTGCACGCGGTAACCGCAATTGGTTTCGGGTGGGGGGATATCTTGTCACGGCTTTATTTCAAATTACTACAACACTAGTGCAGGGGTGGAAGCATAGAGTGGAGAAATACATCCTTTGGGTTCATTCCAACCTTACGACGTTCCATTGAAAATAAAAAAAAAAAAACTGGACTGTGAAGTCCTGATTTCAGAAAAGCGTGTTGTTGGTAGTCCAAAAAAAAAGAAAAACAGTCTTCCATTACTAAGATGTTTAGAGAATATTGTCACAACCAGAAGACTTGTAACAGTCCAATCCCAAGGTACGAGGGATAAAATGTTTAGGAGTGGGCGGTACGGTGTGGTTATTTGTTTTGGCATTTGTGATGCACATTTGAATGTAGACATTTTTGGGAAGTAATATTTATTATGTTTTGGTGTTTTTGTGAGTAATCAAGTTTTATAGTAGTGTATAAGTAAATATAGTTTTTGTGAGTTATCTTCTTTTCATATTATTTGGGGCTGCACTTATTCTAAACAAGTTTGGGAGCACTTTATGAGAATTTTTGGAATCACTGTTAATAGACCTAAGTCAGTTAGACAAGTTTTAATTCATTGGTGGATTGAAGCTGGATCGAAAAGGTTGGAAGATATTTTTAAACACAACCTGCCCGGTATTATTTGTTGGCATGTATGGAAGACCTATGCCTCCTTTGTGTGGGGTTCGAATGATATTCCACTTCCAGATCATCTTATTAGCCAGATTAAGTGCTACTCTCAACGCTGGGCTTGTAAACTAACTAAAGGTAAGCCGAAACCTATTGATGATTTCCTCATCAAAGAGGGGATGGTTTTGAAAATTTTCAGGTATATCGATTCAGGAATTCAAGTCATCAGATGGAAGAGACCAAAAAAAAATATAAATTGAATGTAGATGCAGCATACTTACGGGGAATTTCTCAAGGTGGAGCAATCTTGAGGAATAGCAATGGAGAACTGATTTGGGCGGTTGCCTTTCATCTATGTTCCAAGTCGAGCGAAGAGGCAGAGGTGAGAGCGCTGGTGCAAGCCACAGAAATGGATATGGCGGAAGGCTTTGTGGATGTTCAGGTTGAAACAGATGCGATCGGAGCTTAACACTGCTTCAGAATGAAATAGGCAACCACGCTGGGCTGACAGATTTCAGACAACAAGCTTTGGGCCGGAGTTATACTTTCGAACATGTTCTCCGAGAGGGTAATGGGCCTGCGCACAGCTTAGCAGCCCACCCTGTTGGTCAAGCTCTCTGTGTTCGATTTGATCAAGTCAGGTCCTTGCCTAATCAAGTAAAGATGAATTACTATGCTGATCTGTTTGGAATTCCTAGATTCCGTCTTTAATTGTGTTTTTATCTGTTTTTGCTTATCTTTTTCCTGTATTCGCTTTTAATTTATGCTTTGTTATTTTGGGTCAGGTCTAGCCCCCCAAAATTTCTTTTACTTTTACCATTTCTTGGTATGCTAGGTTTTTCAGAAGAATGCTTCTGTGAGAGGTTTGGTCTAGTCCCCCTCTCTTTTGTATCCTGATCTCTTTAATAAAATAACGGCATCTGACTCCCGGCATTTGTCCCACTGATTTTGGTGGTTTGCCTTCCGGGATAAAAAAAAGTAAATATAGTTTGGTAGGATGAATAGAGGGACAATGTATGCAACACACATGCAACATAAATTACATTCAAATGAGGAACACTGAAATATGAAGTTGGAGTGTCTTGCGTACACGTTTAATAATAGTATTGTATTCACTTAGAATGTTAAATAAAGTTTTTGTAGTCACGTAAAAATAGAAGTAATATAATATTGGATATGTGAAAGCAGAGGGTAGAGATTTCATTTGTAAGTCTTATCAAAAGAAGCTTTTAAATTAATAAAACAACATATACTAAACATTTGAGATCCTCTACTTAATTTGATGGAAAAGTTTGTTGATTCATAAACATACTATCCTATCCACTTTTTAGCGTGATTATGTAATTTTTGCAGACAAATAGAGTGATTATATAAAAATTGAGTATGACGAAACATACTGAGTTGTTATGAACTCAAATAGCATACAAAGAAGAATGGGCACCATGTATATTGTAAACCAATGACTTAAATTTTAACTCAAAAGGAAAACACATAAATCCTATAGATGTTGATGTAAGAGTACATGACCCACATAAATGTAATGGTATGAACACAAATCCAAGAGAAGTTGTGCTTCTGGAATTGGAAAATGTCAAACAAAGAGTGTATTTTGAGTATTGGCATTATGTTTAGGGTTGACGATTTTCTTTTGCACGTTTTGAACTGTAACAAAACACATTGTATTCCTATTAGCACGATACTCTGAAATAGTGGTTGGAGAGATGAATGAAATCCCAAACCCCATCTGCAAACTTTCAAACATCTTCGACATCAGGAAACCACAATTACCACCGTAAGGGTTGTGGATAAAATTTTAGGATTAGTGGCAAAGTGTGGAAAGTGTAAAAAGTTTTAATAGTTATATGGTGTAAGTGTGTGTAGTAAAACAGACTCATTAAATTGTTGAGAGGCATTTTTAACCATTTCACAAGTGTATATATGGAGTAGTCACTCCAGGTACTTGGGAGTTTGGTTTTGCATGAAACTCAACAAGGGGCAATGGTAAAAATGAATTAGGCCTTGCATTTCATCATTCAACTTTTTTAAAATGGAAGCAAGACGGTTGTTGGCATCGCAGACACGCAAGATCCTAGCGCAACATCTAAAACTACTAGAAATCAATGCTTAGAGTCCAAGTTTAGGGGGATGTAAACATTATTGGATTCAAGCCATGGGAGTAAAAACAGGGTAAGATCCTCAGAAACACTATCGTTGAAACAACCTTCAAAAGTTGAAGTACTTGTGGTGGTTTTCCCTTTACAGAAAGCAACGCAGATATAGTTAAGGTGTTGAGGAAAGAGATTGTCAAAGATGGAGAACGTTTTAGGCCAACTTAGACACTTTCCTTTCCCAATGAGTACTTCACCTTAGATGAACATTTCTATGAAGACATTAAACTCCACATGATATAGATCTTCATCATGAAAACCATCGAGTGTCAACCCACCCATGCATTGCGGTTGAACTTCAACAGCCATGGCAACCCAAACATTGTTGCCTCACTGATAAATGAGGACATATATATAGTACGTTGTTAAAAATGCTATTATTTTGTATAACTAATTTTCCAATGGCCAATACCGTGTAATGTCTTTTTAATTTTGATGACCATGTATTTGAAATACCAAGTCCAATGTAGAAAATTTCGTACAAAAAAAAATGTTCCTTTAATGTAATCACATGCCACAAAAGGAAGTAAGATAGAAAGTACAATATAACCATAAAAAATTTATAT